GGGGGTGCCCCCTTGTAGCTATATTAACTGGAATTCTTTGTACGTGCATAGATATTATACTATTACAGACAGTATTATACTTCATGAAAGATCTCGAAATGTCCTTTTTCTTGATGTAATGTCGTTCCTCTTGAATCTGTCATATCCAGGATATTACATTCAAGACTGGCTGATTGAAAATGGCTAATACCAGTCTACCTCAACTCATGAATGTCTAGGGGATTAGTCTTCATTCACTCCACTTTTTGATGACTTTCAGTTTTCCTCTACACCTTCCTAATTCCTATTACTAACAGATGTTCCCCGTTGCCTATCAGCAAATGTAGTGCCCCAAGCTTTCCTCCATCAGCTCTCCTTTGACAAGGCAGCTCTTCCTCAGTCATATAGTGCGTGCCATCTGACAATGCACTGCTGTTGGAAACCATTCCAGGCATTTCCATTTTGGCCTCCTGAGTCACAATCAGCCTGACGGTGTTGGGTTTGCGGAAGACGGGAGTTTTAAAAACTAATCTGGAACCTTAATCTTTTTTTTTCCCCCCCAATAAAGTCTGCATTGTGATAGTTCAGCAAGCAAAGTACACGGCCCAATGAGAAAGATTAAGCAATTAAGGAGCATTATTACCTGGAATGGATAGTGCTTAATAGCTAAGTATTCAGCCAAGATATCCAACATCCTCACCATCTGGGAGAAGATAAGAACTCTATTCCCCCTTTCTCGAAGTCTTGTCAAAAGTTTGTCTAGTAGAATTAGCTTCCCACTGCTCCTGATCAGAGACTGAAAATACATAAGAAATTCTCCGTCATCACAGAGCTCATAATTTTATATCATCTTTTCGCTTTCGGATGTCCTTGGTAATCTGACTTACCAGCAATTTCTGGGGGAAAAAACAAATTTTTTACATCATGTCTGTGTCACTGTACTTTCCTGCTTTTCCAATTTAGTTATTTACCTTCAGTTATGTGTCCTTACAAATTATTTTTGGTGTTCATTAAAGAATCACAAAGGAAGAAATGTTTTTTATCAAAAGTCATCATAGAAAACAAAATATTTTTCAGAAAGTAATTAGGAACCATATATACCTGAAGAATCTCCTGTCCATTTTCCCGTTCATTTTCTTCAGGAGGTTTAATCAGATAGCAGTGATTGCAACATTTTTTTAGTTCCATCACAATATTAAGGAAACCTGATGTGCTTCCTCTGGTTCCTTTGGCTAAAGCCTTGTAATTTCTCGTCAGAATCCACCTGCAAATAAACATATTATTGATGATGCTATATTCAAAGAACTAGAGAATTGATTACAAGCAACAGTAGCATTTCTGAAAAACACAAGGAAGACATAAGGAAAGTTTAAGAGGGAGATGTTTTTATCTTGTGTCTCCTATGACCTAACCAGAATCCCTCATTTATCCAGTAACATTTCCCACACTACTTATTCTACTGCTTATCTTAAAGTCCCATGACTCACAAGAATATTAAAAGGAAATAAAATAAATATATGCATGCATACACACACACACACACACACACAAGACTGTCACTGAGGCATTTTTTATTGCAAATGGAAATGGGGGAAAAGCTATCCAGTAATACGAGATTGATTAAATAGATATACTATGGAGATAAGCAAATATTTAATCCTACTTTAATACTAAACTTAAGATTCATTTAGATATGAAACAATTCAAATGTTCCCCAATAGGGAGATTGGTTAAATTAATAGATATACATATCACAAGAGGATATGATGAACTTTTAAAAACAAGAAATAACTTTACACTTCAGTAAGTGTAAAGCTAAGGTAGAGAAAAATCTATGTATATAGATTTCTACCAGTTATCTAAGAGGAGGAAGAGCAGGAAAAGGTAAAATTTATTTGCTTATATTTAAAAATAGAACTTTAATAGGATAACCATTAAATTTTTTTAAAAAGGCAAAAAACCAACAATAAAAACTAGGGGAAAGAAGAGCCAGAACAAAAGCAAGTGGGGCTAAACATAGTGAAACAGAGCGGGTTTTATAGCTTGAGCTTTGAGTTTAAATAATTATATGACAGAGTTAATCACAGCATTCACTCAAAATAAAAACTGAATGAAAGCAAGCCCCTTTGTTTCCAATTTGTGGCATACCCATAGAGAAGGGAAACAATCTCTACTTCTTTAACTCTGTCTATTCCTAATATGACACAGCTTAAAATTTCTAAAAATATGTTTATTGTTCATATTGTTTAGGGTAGTCATGCACGGTTATTTGAAGACTATTGTGCGGGAAAGTGAATTACACTGAAGTAGTTAAAAATACAGATTTGCGATATGGGAGTGAAGTCATTAAGGTCAATAAAAGCACTATTGACATTTTAAGTGAAAAATAACTCATGATATACTTTATCTTTAAAACCAAGGAAATGATTAAGTCTTAACTCGGTCCATTGAAAAGGTCTGTAAATGACATCCATCCAGAGTTAAAATGGGTGGCTCTAGTTCAAGGGCAGAAAATGTACAAGATGAATCTGAATCATATTATCATTACCTAAAGCAAAGAAGCAATCAAAAACTACTGGGGTTATGTCAAAAGGATAGAACTAACTTGAATAAACTCTCAGTGGCTACAGATGAGGTGATAAGAGCATGAGTCTGGGTAATTAACGGCAAAGAAATGAAATTCAAATTACTTATGAATCATAATCATAACAAAATAAATCTCATGGTAAAACCTTTCGATAAAGCACTTATTTTTTTTCCTTTTGAAATGTCTTTGAAAATTATACTTTTGAGAGGACTTCCGGCAAGATGGTAACTGAGTAAAATATACCAGAGGGACTCCGTAGAAATCAGCACAGGAGAATTTCTAAGAGGGAAATTCCACACTACCAGGTCACAGGAGGAGCATCATAAAAATAAGTAGGCACAGATCCACTAGGTTTTGAGGAGCTGGGGGCTTTTGGCTTACCACAGTAGAGGCTGGATAGGGTTTAAACCTTAGCCCCGCCATAGTCTCTGCCAGAGCCTGGATCATTTGGAGCCAGCTCAAGGGTTTTATCTCAATACAGCCACAGCTTGCCTCCCACCTAGGGGCAGGGTTTAAACCCCTACAGCCCAACTGTCAGGGATAGGGGCTCAGTTACACTGTTACTTTCTTTTCTCTCTGGTCTCTTTCCCACCAGTTTCTGCCACCTCAAGGCAGGGTTTAAAACCCTCCAGCCCCACGGTCAGGGATCAGGGCTCAGCTATATTATATTTTGCTTTCCTCTCATCTCTCTTTCCTGCAACAGTTACAGCGGGCTGTTTTTCTTTCTTTCTTTGTTTTTAAATCACTTGAGGGCTCTTACAATGCGTATTACAATCCATACATCAGTTGTATCAGGCATATTTGTACATCATTCTTTTCTAGACAGTTACTTTCTGTTGAGCAGTTGGTACCAGCTCCTCTTATTTCCCTCTTTTCTTTTTTTTTCTTTCTTTTTCTTTGCCCTTCTCTCTCACACGCCACTGTCGGACCTCCAGGCCACTCCCCTTAGCCTAGGGCATTTACACCTGCCCTCCACTCAGCTGGGAGAGCTACACATTCTGCAGCTTAACCCAAGGCTGTGGAAAGCCTGCCTACCTTCCTCCAGGGAAATCCCGCCCACCTTCTACCAAGGGAAATGCCGCCCACCTTCTTCCAGGGCAAAGCCTGCCCAGTCCCAGCTCCCTACAGGAGATATCCCACCCACCTTCTTCAGATAGAAATCCTGCCTGCTTGGCTGGGAAAGATCCTATCCGTCCTTGGTGGTCCCATGTGAATGAGGGAACTTCCTCCCGCGGGCTGTAGTGCATTACAAGGCTTAAGGCAGCTTGTCCAACACCCACCAACGCTCCACGCTGCTGCAAGAACCTCTTCCCAAACTCCGCGGAGATCAAACTCCGCGGAGATCTAGCTGGCCAGAGCAATTCTGCCCACAATTCATAGTGCTCTACACCAAAGCAGGCACACCCACCTGCCTTCTGTGACACCTGGCTCCTCTAAAACAACCCAACGCAAACAGCCATCAGCCCCAACGACCTCAAGGAAAACACAGGAGAAACAAAAGGCGATGGCAGAAGATGTCCTGAACCTAACCTAACGACGTGCATAGAAGCAGCAGACATTGATCTGCCACAGAAATTTTCAGAATGTTGCTTGCAGTCATACAGGATATGAGGGAATGATAGAGTGAAGGGTAAAGAAGAAATAGACAAAGGTCTGAAATACGCCTCTAATATACTGGTAGGAAGATTAGTAGAAAGAGTTAATGTTTAGTGTCAGAATACTTATGTAGCGAAAATTACTGTGCAACAACTAACTTGTCACCAAACTGAAATCGACTCACTCCAATCAAGTTGATTTGGACTGCAGACCATAAAGGACAGAACAGAACTGCTCCTGCAGGTTTCCAAGACCCTAAATGTTTATGGGAAAAGTAGAAAGTCTAATCTTTCTCCAGAGGAGCCACTGGTGGCAGGCCTTGGTGGTGTAGTGGATTATACATTAGGCTGCTAACCATAAAGGCAACTGCTCACATACTCAAACTAAAAAGCACTAATAATAAAGGCTCATCTTTCTGAGCCTAAATAAATTACTATTTAATTGTACACTGAAATGTCAATGGAAAAGGCAGCTGATTTGCCAAATATCTGTGTGACGACATTAATGTAAATGCTATTCAGGCCAGTTAAGAATTTACTTACTTGTAATACTGCTTCTGAAGAGCTGACATCTCCACTCGGAGAATCTGCTCGACTTTGGCAGGGAGGGACTTCTCCACGTCCTTTTTAACCCTCCGGAGAAGGAAAGGCTCCAGCACCTTATGCAGACTCTGGTAACCATTCTCTCGCCCTTTCCCATGGTCTTCCTCGAAATCTTCCCAGAACGCAAACCTAAAGTAAGATAATAAAGGAAAACTTCGTTACACAGAGGGGGAAAGCACTTTCACAAGTGAAAATATATTTTTAAATGGATTTATGCAACAAAGAGCAATAAAAATATCATCTTTTCCTATAGAGAAAGCAAAATTAATTAAGCCATCACTAACCCTTGAATGAGAGAAGGAAGACAAGAATAAAAGGGAGTATCAATGGAATCGATTGTGTCAGATTACACTAAATATCGGCTTACATTACTGAGACTGAATCTGGAGTAGTTTAAAAATACTTCAGTATATCACACAGTTTACAAATTAAACAGAAGAAGTTTATTTTATGAGGCAATATATAATTGTGGGAAAAATTAAATTCAGAGGTACATGAATAATTAGTGGCAATTTCATTACACCCCAAAGACAAGTAACATAATGTCCAATCATAATCATCATTGGTCATAGATTAGAACATTAAAGGACTATGTTCATTAATAAGATAGATGAGATAAAATGTCCAAAAAGTGATACAAATTTTATAATAATAGAATTTGGGACATACTATAAATTAACTAGTTTGAGTAGGTGAGAATATGATATTAACTGAGGCTAGAACGGAAAACTCAAACCATTGCCCCGCAATCTGCTCTGTGACACTAGCTGACCCTGCGCTGCTAAAAGCTAGTTGAGTTCTAGACTGAAAAAGCCAAGTGATTTAAGGTTAGCTGTAGTTCTGTAGGCCCAAATAATTAAGCTAACATTAACTACTGAAAGAGAGACAAAATGGAAATATCAGTGGTATTAATTCTGTCACTTTCTGATAAGATGGAAAATCACAGACTACCACCAGTGCTGTCATCCATAATCAGCTGTCATTTCTGAACTCATGAGCTTCTAAACATTTCATCAGGTACTGCTAAGAGGACCAACATCAGCATTAGTAACGGCTATTAATTACCCCTGGCTTAGACAAAATGCTCTCTTGGAGTAGAGATCTAAAAAAATAATATCAACACCTATATCCTAAAGTAAATAGTAATTTTTATTTATACTTTGTCACACTATTAGCCAATGTTCCATAAACACAGAATAAGTGAGAAATTAAAACTAGTAAGAGGATTAAAAGAAACAATGTAAACTAAACTATCTCAATGCTAGCAATACCACACATCACACACAAAATAAGTGAAACAATTGGAAATCAGTAAGGACTACCAATCTACCAAGGTATTTTTCTGACTACCCAGGAGATAATTTCAAGAGACTGTTTTAATGTACTTACTAACTCACATTATAATGCATGAAAACTACACTACTGGAGTTTCGGGAGGGGGGGTGCCAATAAACACTACTTGGCTCTTAAGATAATAGCTGGAAGTTTTGAGTTCACTCAGAATCCATTTTATATTGCTGAAAATAGTTTGGGTTTGTTTGGGGGTTCGGGTTTGTTTGTTTTCGAAGAGAAATATTTTCTCAAACACTGCGTCTTTAACTCCAGTGCATCACTGCTTAAGGGATTCAACAAGCCCTATGGAAAATTACAGCTGACTGGAGATCCCCTTGCACAGGGGTCTCGGGGAGGAGACGAGCAAGTCAGGGTGCGATGTAGCAACAATGAAACATACAACTTTCCTCTAGTTCCTAAATGCCCCCCCCCCCCCCACTATCATGATCCCAATTCTGCCTTGCAAGTCTGGCTAGACCAGAGGATGTACACTGGGGTACAGATAGGAACTGGAAACACAGGGAATCCAGGAAGGATGATCCCTTCAGGACCAGTGGTGTGAGTGGTGATACTGGGAGGGTAGAGGGAGAGTGGGTTGGAAAGAGGGAACCGATTACAAGAATCTATATGTGACCTCCTCCCTGGGGGACGGACAACAGAAAAGTGGGTGAAGGGAGACTTCGGACAGGGCAAGATATGACAAAATATAATTTATAAATTATCAAGGGCTCATGAGGGAAGGGGGAGTGGGGAGGGAGGGGGAAAATGAGGAGCTGATGCAGGCGGCTTAAGTGGAGAGGAAACGTTTTGAGAATAATGAGGGCAATGAATGTACAAATGTGCTTTACACAACTGATGTATGTATGGATTGTGATAAGAGCTGTATGAGCCCCTAATAAAATGATTTTAAAAAAGAAAAGAAAATTACGGCTGATATTACCCATATAATCACCTCTAATAGAAAGAGTAATTCAAAATTCCTCCCTTCAATCATGAAAAGTGGGGTGAGCATGTAGAATGTCAGGTGTTCACCAGGGACAGGCAAAGTTAATGATGACGACTCGGAGTAAACAGCCCTCCAATTCACTTCAGCCCCAAGTACCCAATAGCAAGGCGTAGCCAAGGTCTCACTTGTAAAAATGGTACATGATTTTCTTTGTAAGCCCAGCTACACCCTATGCCTTAAAACAGGCTTTTGCCCATCTTGATGGTGTTTTGAACAATCCACTTTTTATCTTATTAGATTCTTAAGTTAAAGGTATATTGGTTTTGGCCACAGAACTAAATTAAAACTAAATCTTACATCAACTGCTTATTAACTGAAATGAAGGATATCTTATCTCTATAAGCCAATATAAGTGAACGAGGAGGGGAGTGCGGACTGGAGACCCAAAACCCATTTGTAGGCCACTGGACATCCCCTTACACAAGGGTCTCCGGGAGGAGACGAGCCAGTCAGGGTGCGATGTAGCAACAATGAAACATACAACTTTCCTCTAGTTCCTAAATGCTTCCACCTCCCCCACTATCAGGATCCCAATTCTACCTTACAAATCTGGCTTAGACCTGAGGGTGTACACTGGTACAGATAGGAACTGGAAACACAGGGAATCCAGGAAGGATGATCCCTTCAGGACCAGTGGTGTAGTGGCTATACTAGGAGGGTGAAGGGAGGGTAGGCTGGAAAGGGGGAACAGATTACAAGGAACTATATGTGACCTCCTCCCTGGGGGATGGACAACAGAAAAGTGGGTGAAGGGAGATGTCGGACAGGGCAAGATATAACAAAATAATAATTTATAAATTATCAAAGGTTCATGAGTGAGGAGGGAGCGGGGAGGGAGGGGGTAAAATGAAGAGCTGATGCCGGGAGCTTAGGTGGAGAGCAAATGTTTTGAGAATGATGAGGGCAATGAATGTACAAATGTGCTTTACACAATTGATGTATGTATGGATTGTGATAAGAGTTGTATGAGCCCCTAATAAAACGATTTTTAAAAAGCTAATATATTCCTTTATGAAACATGAGAAATAACTACGTTTGGTTTATCAAGATTAAATATCGGATGCTCATATATAGAAACACTTTAACATGTAAATATCATTATTATCGAAAGTGATCTACAGATTTAATGTAATCCCAATGCAGATTCCGGTGGTATTCTTTAAAGAGATGGAAAACTAATCATCAGTCTCATATATAAAGGAAATAAAACCCTGGATAAGAAAAGCCCTACTAAGGAAGAAAAAAGTAGGGGCCTTCAACCTTTCCAGACTCATAATCTACTACTACCTAGCCACATTAATCAAAACAGCGTGGTACTAGTACAACAACAAACTCAGAGACGAATAGAACAGAACCCAGGAATGAATCCATCGGCCTATGGACAACTGCTCTTTGAGAAAAACCCCAAACTCATTAGACAGAGAAGTCACTTTAACAAATGGAGACAGAAAAACTGTAGATAACTATTTGCAGAAAAATAACACGGGGCACTTTTCTCAAACCATATATAAAACTGAATTCAAGATGGAACAAAAACCTGAAGTAAACCTTTAAGCTACTCAAAGATCATAATGAAAAATTAAGAAGACACTGAGGGCCCTAACATATGGCATAAATATAGTAAAAATATATAACTGAAAATACAAAAACAGAAGCCAAAAATATAGATGACTAAGACCTCCTAAAAATATGTACATAAAAAATTCACCAAAAATATGGAAAAAGTAACAGACCAAGAAAATACATTTTGGTTATGACATACTGGACAAGAGAATAATCTCTAAACTTATAATAATTTTAAAGGAAATGAAAACTACCACCTCAACAACAAAAATATAATCCAATTTTAAAATGGACAGAGAGAACAAACAAAAACTTCACCAAAATCATTCAGGCAGCCTACATACACTTGGCAAAATGCTCACAAGTATGAGTCCTTAGAGAGCGACAAATCAAAACAACTATAAGATATAATCTCAGACAATCAACAAAGCTACACACGAAACCAAGAAAGCAGATGCTGGCAAGGGTTTGGAGAGGCTGAGCCTTGCCACCCGGCGGAGAGGACTGCAGAACGGTAGATCACTGTGGGAAGCAATGTGGTGCTTCCTTACAATGCTGGAAACAAGCAGCATGTGATCCAGTAATCCTGGATATATAGCCTAGAGAAACAGGAGACATGACAACCAGATACATGCACACCCCTGATCATGGCAGAACAATTAGCAACAGGAAAAATGAGAAAACCACCTGAATGCTCACCAGTGAATGAATAAACTACTGTACATACACACAATGGAACACAATGCAATGTTAAAGAATAGTGGTGAATTTGTGAAACACTTTAAAAAATGAGGAATCTGGAAGACATTAATGCTTAGTGAATCAAGTTAATCACAAAGGAACAAATATTGAAAGAAAAAAAATTTAAGATCAAAATCTTACTTGAACGGTTAAAACCCTGTCAGTCGATCCCCCCGCTGACGCACATTAGACCTGATCTGGTTTTCAAAATTTTCTCTATTTTTTTGTATTTGTTTGTTCATTTGGGGGTTTATCTCAGATGTGTTATGTCATTGGGAGTCACCCTCTTGAATTTATGTTATACATTTTTCTGATTTTCAGTATATGAACCCCAGGCTTGATGAACCTATAGGGACAGCAAGTAGATTAAGGTGTTTTGTTTTGTTTTGTTTTTTTGGAGCGGGAGGGTGGTAGATGGAGGAGGGGTTTTAAAGGTAGCCAATGTCAAATTCAGAAAGGAACAGAATGTTCTGAAACTGATTGTGGT